TCACCCCACACTGTTGTTCGGTGTACTGTATTAACCGGGTCCAGTTCTTGTCACTGAAGGCCTGAGCCTGTTGTAGTGTGGTTTTGAACTACTTTGACTCCCAAAGAGAGCTGAAATGCGAGGGATTCGTTTCCCTGTAGTTCTAGTTGCACTCCTCGGCTGACCTCCTTCAGCCCTTCTTGCCCTCCCCCAGGGTAGCTCAGCAGCACTGGTGGGAGTCACCTGCCTGATGGAGACACTACCAGCGACACACCAATAAAAAAGCAGCACACAATAAAACACACAGCTCCCCAAAATGAATTTCACCTCTTCTTTTGGCTTGCTACATGAGCTTAAACTCCACTTAAACAAGATTTGATTCAATAAGAATGAACAGAATCTTAATTACACAAATGGGCTCCTCTGTCTTTCAAGGCTGCCCTTTGTCCTTGACTATTGGTTTTCTTTTTTTTTTCCTAGATGACTGTTCATTCTGATTAGCATAGCACTGGGGTTTGCTCCCTCCTCCCTCCTCTCTCCCAGCCCTGTGTTGTGCTTGTAATTTTGGGGTAATTTTGAAGGCCTGTGAAATAGGCCAGACTCCGGTGCTGAGAAAGGTGCTTTTCTTGGGTGTTTTTCTGTGGGGTTGTTTTGCTAAACTCTTCCTACTTGTTATTGTGGTTTTTTGGTCTTTTTGAGACAGGGTCTCCCTATAGCCCCAGCTGTCCTGGAACTCACTATGTAGATCAGGCTGGCCTTGAACTCACAGAGATCTGCCTGCCTCTGCCTCCCGAGTGCTGGGATTAAAGGCGTGCGCCACCACACCTGGCTTGTTATTATTTTATACCCCAGACTTTCCATCTGCCAGGCGCGTGGGCAGAAACAGGTGACCCTTATCTCCCCCAGCCACCAGCGGGAGTGGACTCTGTTTGTTGCTGGTTTGATGGGCTGGAGCCAGGTGGGGTGCTTGGCTCACTCAGAGTTCTAACCATTCTAAGGTTCAGAGTTCACCTGTGTTTTTCAAAGCAAGTCTGCTTAATTTACTTGGGCTGAAACACAGATTGGAATTCATCGTGTGGGATTCCTCCTGCTGGTACTGGTCTCTCCATCCACAGCTGGCTTCGAGGCCAGCAGCTGGTCTCCCTCCCTCCAGGGAGCTTCATGGCCTCTTTAAACTGACCTGCACCTGTAAGACGGTTCACTTTAAGTTCGCTTTGTTGTTAGCACTTAGCCAGCAGGCTCACTGTTTTTTGGTTTTTTTTTAAGTTCTTAAAATGCCCATCATTACAAACGTTTAAAATAAATACATGACCATGAAACAGTGTGGAAAAGGGTAGTGAAGAGTGAAGCCACTTTTATTCTCACCTCGATATAAATGTAAGAAAATGAGGTGTTTGCACCCTGTTTCTCCCTGTGCATGTGTGTTCCTTACATGTCTTTAAGTCTAAACATTTTCCCTTGTCCCTATTGTTTGTTGAAAGTGTCATTAACGAAACATCATATTTGCAGTTGTGGCTCTTGCATAACTCACTAGATTGCCTCCCTGGCGGCAGGTGCTGAGGTGCCGCTGTGTGAGCTCGCCATCTCTAAATGCTATCTGTTGGGAGGTCGCCCTGATGGAACCTGGATGCTGAGGCAAACGATGCAGGCTCTTTGCAGCACGTTTGCACTCACACTAGTGCTGGCTGTGGATTACTCACACAGGACAGAAATGAGTCAGCAGAACGCAAAAGCTGGCTGTGCCCCCGTGTCCCCAGGAAGCACTGAGGTATCGCTGGGGCTCAGCTGCTCGTTGCTACATGGGTTCCCCTTCAGTTGTGGCATGGCCCATATTGAATACATGTTTGTTAGACACCTTTGCCAGTTTGACAGGCGGTAGGGTCTCTCATTTTAAAAGTAGTCCTTTTAACTGTAGTTTGCTTTTGAATCTGAGCAGTTTTTTAGTTGGCTCTGTTTATCTGTTATTTGCCAATTTTGTCATTGAGAGGACCTGTTGACATTTGTAAATGGTCATTTGATTAGCTATATTAGCTTTTATTTTATTTCTTATAATGTTTGCTTAGATTTACATTGTTAGTGAAGTTTTTGAGTCAAAGCATGGTAGGCTCATCTGCTGGATCTTTTTTTTTCGGTCTTTTTGAGACAGGGTCTCCCTGTAGTCTCAGCTGTCCTGGAACTCACTATGTAGACCAGGCTGGCCTCGAACCCACAGAGATCTGCCTGCCTCTGCCTCCCGAGTGATGGGATTAAAGGCATAAGCCACCATGTTTATGTGTATGAATGTATTGCCTGCATGTGCATAAGTGCACCCATGTCATGCAGTGCCCTAAAAGGTCAGAAGAAGGCATTGGATCCCCCTGGACCTGAAGTTAGGACCATTGGAGTTAGGACCATTGTTAGCCATCATGTGGGTGCTGGGACTCAGGTCTTCTACAAGAGCAGTCAGTGCTTTTAACTGCTGAGCCCTCTCTCCAGTCCCCCCCCCCTTTTTTTTGAGACAGTGTCTCCCTGTAGCCCCAGCTGACCTGGAACTTACTCTGTAGACCAGGCTGGCCTCAGGCTCACAGAGGTCTGCCTTCCTCTGTCTCCCAAGTGCTGAGATTAAAGGTGTGCACCACTATGCCTGGCTTCCTGAACTCCTTTTTAAAAAAACTCCTTTTTTAAAAAATAGTTTATTATTTTAACTTTATGTAAGTGCACCCGTGTTGTGCAATGCCCGAGTTGGTCAGAAGAGGGCATCAGATCCCCTGGAACTGTAGTTGTGGATGGTTGTTAGCAGTCATGTGGGTGCTGGGACTCGAACCCGGATCCTCTGGAAGAGCATCTGGTGCTCTTAACCGCTGAGCCATCTCTCCAGACTCTCTGAACTCTTACTTTTGTTTTGACCAGCCATGGCCTTTTTTACTTTTTTAACATATCATTTCAGAAAAATTAGCACCAGACAGGCATTATGGCTCACACCACAATCCCAACATTTAGGAGGCAGAGCCAGGGGTATTACTGTGAGTTCAAGGGAAGCCTGTGCTACACCTTGAGACCCTGTGGCAAATTGCACACACACACACACACACACACACACACCTTTTTTTTTATATTTAATTTGTTCATATAAGAATTTGGAGGAGCTGGGTGTGGTGGTGCACGCCTTTAGTCCCAGCACTCGGGAGGCAGAGGCAGGCAGATCTCTGTGAGTTCAAGGCCAGCCTGGTCTACATAGCGAGTTCCAGGCCAGCTGAAGCTATAGGGAAACCCTGTCTCAAAAAAAAAAAAAAAAAAAGAATTTTAGGAAGGTTGCAGCCTTGCACTGCAGCAACTGCAGTAATAAGTAATAAGGTTGCCCTTCAGGGTGGCCACAGATCAAGGCTGCTCCATGTGGGTGGAGCCTGAGCCTGAAGGCTAAGGCTGGCTTGTTCATCCAGGCTTGCTTATGTGAGCCTGCTAGGTTTTCCAGGGCTGCTTCTGGTCTGCTCCCAGGCCATGTTGTTTAGCCCTGGCTCTGCAGTCTGTCTTGGTTCTTTGTAGGCTTGCTCCTCTGCTTCCCCTCTCAGGAGCCTCCTTGAAGCTCTGCGATGGGCTAAGTAAGCGCCTTCCCTCCATGTTGGCTCAGGGGTGTCGCTCTGTTTTGTTGTGCCAGGGATGGAACTCGGGGCCTCCTGCACAGAGGCAGGCACTCTCCCTTTAAGCCACACCCCAGTCTTAAGGCTGGACCTTGTGCTCTACTGAGAAGGCTCTTAGCCTGCCCTTTGCCAAGGTGTATTAGCCTAGTCTTACTCTCCTGTTTGCTCTGTAGAACTGACTCCAGCCTGGTGAGACTTGTTCTCTCAGGGTGCTCCCGTTCCTCCATTTCTGCTGGGAAAGCAGTGATTCTTGCTTGCACCTGTGTCTTGAAGTATCTCGTGAAGGCAGCCAGCAGTGCCCAGTCCAGTCCTTCACCCTGTGGCCTTTCCTGGGCCAGCAGGTGTGGACCCTTGGTCTGACAGGTCGTGGTCACTGCAGGCTGCCCTTCCTGCTACCACCGACAGCTAGCCAGAGTCACATGCACATAGGGCTTTGTTCACAGCAGCATTCTGCTTGAGGATTTGTGTTTGCTGTCCTCAGGAAAACCAGAACTACACTAGGTATTTCAAGCAAGAGGCATGCAATGCAGTAAATTGCCAGGGCTGGAGAGATGGCTCAGTGAGTGGTTAAGAGCACTGACTGCTCTTCCAGGGGATCTGGGTTCCATTTCTAGCCCCCACATGGCAGCTAATAACTGTCCATAACTCCAGTTCCAGGAAGTCCGACACTCTTCAGGCTTCCACAGGCATTGCATGCACTGGTGCACTTGCAAACATTCATACACATTTTTTAAAAAAATGCTCATTACCATAGCCAGGTGTAGTGACACATCTTTAATGTCAGCACTTTGGAGGCAGAGACTGGTGGATCACTGAGTTCAAGGCCAGCCTGGTCTACATAGTGAGTTCCAGGTCAGCCAAGGCTCCACAGTGAGACCCAGTTTCAAAAAACAAAACAAAGCTAACAGCAACAAGGCCATTGCCAGGGATGGGAGCTGTAGTGGTGGCAACAAACCCAGGGGCAGCTTCTGGAAGCTTTCAGAAACTTAGACCATGCAAGAATTACAGAAAAATGTTGCAGTTGACCTGGGTGGGCTGTAACACCAGGGAGGGTGAATTTCAGAAGCATGCTTAGAGGCTATTGGTGACTCTGTGGCATCTGCCCTCGCCAAAGTCCATGTCTATCCTGCTCCTGCTGGAGCCATTCAGAAGCCTGTGGTGTCCTGAGCCCCTCATCTCTGGCTTGGGGTCAGTGATGTCATTCCTCCTGTGTAGGGAGAGCAGACACTGCAAGGATGATGTGGAACCTTGCTGCCAGCGCGGTTCAGCTCCTGGGACTGAGAAGACAGGACTGAGCCTCAGCGTGGTGCTGTGAAATCGCTGCACAGATTAAAAGGTGTGCTGGCTGGGAGTAAATGTGAAATTCACACATAAATAAAACTGTACAATTATTTTTACTTATAGACTATAAAGCAGTTGGCAAAATAGGAGAGGGAACATTTTCTGAAGTTATGAAGATGCAGAGCCTGAGAGATGGAAACTACTATGCGTGCAAACGAATGAAACTCCATTTTGAAAGGTGGGCGTCAGGTGGTGGGGACGACACGGACAGGCCGCAGTCAGCAGGGCAGCTATGTTAGTGGGAAACTGTATTCATTTAATAATACGCAAGAGATCAGATTTCCTCAGACAGTAGATTATGGGCTAATGTTATATTTAATATGAATTTTCTCTTGTCCAAGTTTACTATAATATCAATGATTAACCTACAAAAAATTTGACTATAAAAGCATGTTTTACTTTATACAGTATATGTATAGTAGATTTTTGTAAGTCAAACCTTAGTTGAAATATTGTGGAGATCCTTGAAATTTACTTATTTGTGAAACAATTCATGTATGAATATGTCAAAGAACAACTTCCAGGTAGGAATGGGGACATTTATTCCTAGGGAGGAATCAGCTGCCGTGTGTGGGAAGCAGGCTGTAGTTCTAAATTATCCTTGTGGGTGATAATTCTCATACTATGGCTTTATTGTACATAGAAGGACGCCTTTAGTCCCAGTATACAGGAGGCAGAGGCAGGCAGATCTCTGTGAGTTCAAGGCCAGCCTGGTCTACACAGTGAGTTCCAGGACAGCTAGGGTTACAGGGAGGCCCTGTCTCAAAAAGACCAAAAAAAAAAAAAAAATAGGCCTTTCAATAAGGACTTTAAGCCCCATGGGTTTATTTTTTATATCAAAGGAATCAATACTTTAAATGTCCAAGCAGTTTTGAAGAAAATTCAGCAACTCCCATATTGGTGCTGAACCTTTTTTTTTTTTTTTTTTTTTAGGTTTTTTGAAACTGGGCGTCTCCTGTAGCCCAGGCTGGCCTCAAATTCCTTATTTCTCCACCTCTGCCTCCCAGCTGCTGGGACTGCAGATGTGCGCCACCATGCCTGGCTTGAGGCAAAGTCTTCTGAAGTGTTTGGACATAGAAACTTTGACTTCAAACTCTTTGCATGAAAAAATTGTTTCTCAGGTCAAAGAAGGAATTCTGACAGTGAATCTTGTCAGAAGACACCAAGCATAGTAGTTCATCCTCTTGCCCTCTGGGCTGGGTAACTCTTATTCTGTCTTATATAGAGGGTAGGTGCTTAGGGATGTGACGTCACCTAACAGTTGTCACTCTGGGTCCTGCAGAGCCATGTTCCAGTGCACATTTTATCCAAGCAGGGCTGAGATCATTTGATGGTTCACCTAGCAGTCCTGGGTCTGGGGCAGTCCCAGGTCTGGAGTGGTCCTGGGTCTGTATGGAGCAGTCCAGGGTCTGGAGTGGTCCTGATCTGGCTGGAGCAGTCCCAGGTCTGGAGTGGTCCCGGGACTGGAGTGGTCCCAGGTCTGTCTGGAGTGGCCCAGGGTCTGGAGCAGTCTGGGGTCAGGAGTAGTCCCGGGTCTGTCTGGAGTGGCCCAGGGTCTGGAGCAGTCTGGGGTCAGGAGTGGTCCCTGGTCTGTCTGTCTGGAGTGGCTCAGGGTCTGGAGCAGTCTGGGGTCTGGAGTGGTCCCGGGTCTGTCTGTCTGGAGTGGCCCAGGGTCTGGAGCAGTCTGGGGTCTGGAGTGGTCCCGGGTCTGCCTGGAGTGGCCCGGGGTCTGGAGTAATCGCAGGTCAGGAGTGGTCCCGGGTCTGTCTGGAGTGGTCCCGGGTCTGTCTGGAGTGGCCCGGGGACTGGAGCAGTCTGGGGTCTGGAGTGGTCCTGGGTCTGTCTGGAGTGGCCCGGGGTCTGGAGCAGTCTGGGGTCAGGAGTAGTCCCGGGTCTGTCTGGAGTGGCCCAGGGTCTGGAGCAGTCTGGGGTCTGGAGTGGTCCCGGGTCTGCCTGGAGTGGTCCTGGGTCTGCTTCTCCCCTGGCGTGTCTTCTCTGTGCTCTGCCCTCCATGTTTCTTGTGCTTTTCTCCCCTCCCCACTGCATCTTTACCTTTAAATTCTCATAAGAGAATCTGGTGTATAGTGGCCCAATGGTTCATGTCAAAGAAGCAGGCTTCCTTGAACAGGCACCCCCCCAAGCCTTTAAAACAGGGTCTCCTGTAGCCCATAATGGTCTCAGAGTCACTATGTTGTTGAGGACCTTGAACCTCTGATCTCTTGTCTCTGCTTCCAGAGTCTAGAATTACAGGTCAGCACCACCACATCTGTTTTATGCAGTGCTAGGGATGGAGCCCCAGCAAGCATAAAGAATCCAGGCAAGCATTCTACCACTGAGCCATGCCCCAACTTGGTGGTTTTTTTTGTTTATTTGTTTTTGTTTTTGAGACAGCTGGCTTGGGACATGCTGTGTAGACCAGGCTGGCCTGGAACTCACAGAGATTGCCTGCCTCTGCCTCCCAAGTGCTGGGATTAAAGGCATGTGCCTCCAGGCCTGACTCATTTCATTAAAAAATTTATTATTTTTAAAACTCTGTGTGTGTGCGCGTGCGAGCATGAGTGCAGTGCTGGAGTTGCAGCAGCTGTAACTGCTGTGAGCTGCCTGAAACAGATGCTGGGAATTGAAGTCAGGTCCTCTGGAAGAGCAGCATGTACTCTTAATCACTGACCCATCTCTCCAGCCCTCATTTCCTTTTTTGGGAGAGTCTCTCACTACGTAGCCCAGGCTGACCTGGAACTCAATATGTAGCCAAGCTAACCTGGAACTCACTGTGATCTTCTTGCCTCAGCCTCCTGAATGCTGCGATTACAGGTGTGAGCTGCCATGCTTGGCTGTGCGTTTTTAAAATTAGGGAAAATTTGGGGCTGGAGAGATGGCTCAGTGGATAAGAACACTGACTGTTCTTGCAGAAGACCCGGGTTCAAATCCCAGCACCCACATGTCAGCTAACAACTATCCTTAACTCCAGTCCCAGGGGATCTGATAGCCTCTTCTGTCATCTGCAAGCATTGCACAACATGGGTGCACTTACCTACATGCAGGCAATATACGCATACACATAAAATAAAAAATAATAAATATATATTTTTTAGGGAAAATTTATTGGGGTGTAGAGTTCTCTGTTCTGCATGTAACCCTGCTTCAGATGTATTTGCAGCTGGTTTCTCCTGATCTGCCCCTCCATTTTCTCTACGGTGTCTTGTTTTGAAGATTTTTATTGGGAGGAGAAAGGAGAACGCTGGGAAGGAGATGGTGACTTTGGCTGTGTCCAGAGTGCTAGGAGGCCAAGGGGAAGGGGAGGAAGAAAGCAAAGCAGGGAGGAAGATGGGAAGGGGAGGAGGGGCTGTTCAGGTCCGGCTTGGTCAGTTTCGGTGACTGAGGTAAAGGTGGGCCCTGTTTCCCCGCAGTGTCTCTCTGGTTGTCCAGCACCATTTGTGAAGACATTCCTTTCCTCTTGGCTTGCTTGGTCACAGGCCAATTGACTGAAGAAGTCTAGGTCTAGTTTAGGCTCTGTTCTGTTCATTGATTTCTGTGACTGTCCCTGCATCAATATCACTGCATTAGTTAATGCAGTTTAGTAAGTTTTGAAGTCAGAGAATATGAAGTTTCCAGTTTCATTTTTCATTTAAAAGATATTTGCTGCTGGGCATGGTGGCGCATGCCTTTAGTCCTAGCACTTGGGAGGCAGAGGCAGGCCGATCTTTGTGAGTTCAAGGCCAACCTGGTCTACATAGTGAGTTCCAGGACAGCTGGGGCTACAGGGAGACCCTGTCTCAAAAAGACAAAAGAAAAAAAAAAAAGATATTTGCCTAGTCAAGATCCTTCCTGTTTCTGTATAGATCCTAGAATCAGCTTGTGAATTCTCTTACAAAACAAAGACTGAGATTATAAAGGATCCATTTTGGAGAAAATTCTCTTATTTTTTAAAAGACCAGGTCCTCTGTATCCCAGGGGACCTCAAACTGTCTGGATGGCCAAGGCTGACCTTGAACTCCTTATCTTCCTGTCTCCACCTCTTGGGTGCTGGACATACAGAGCTAAATGTAAAAGTTGAAACTGTTGGGCCAGGCGTGGTGGCACATGCCTTTAATCCCAGCACTTGGGAGGCAGAGGCAGGCAGATCTTTTGAGTTCGAGGCCAGCCTGATCTACGTAGTGAGTTCCAGAACAGCTGGGGCTACAAGGAGACCCTGTCTCAAAAAAGACAAAAAAAAAAAAAAGTTGAAACTGTTTTAGAAGAAAATACAGGAGACTATCTTGTGAACTGAAGTTCGCAGATCTCTGTGAGTTCAAGGCCAGCCTGGTCTACATAGCAAGTTCCAAGTCACCTGGTGCTACAGGGAGACCCTGTCTCAAAAAGACCAAAAAAACAAAAAAAACCACTCACAGTGGGGCATCCAGTAGGACTTTCTTTGTGGAGGTGTACTGCGATGTTTGTTTTGTCTTTTTGAGAATCTGCAGTTTCTTATACCATCATCCATAGTGATAGCAAGCTGGAAAGAAATGTAGTATGGGATGGGTGACAGCGCCAAGTATGTGAGTGCCTGGAGGTCAGAAGAGGCCATTGAATCCCCTGGAACTGGAGTTACAGGTGGTTGTGAGCCACCATATGAGTGCTGGGAACTGAACCTTGATCACTGGAGCAGCCAGTGCTCTTAATTTCTGAGCTGTCTTCCCAGCCCCTTATAAATATTTAAAGCTACAACTATTCTCCTAATCCTAGTACTTTTAGGTACATCCCATAAACTTCAATACTCTGGGCTTTCCTTTCTTTTAGATTTATTATTTTTGTGAATATTTAAAATTTACTTATGTTTATTTTGTGTACATGAGTTTTGCTTTTGCCTGCTAAACCATCCCATCAGCTGTCTACATTTGTCTTGACATTTTGTTTTCAACAGAATTAAAGTAAACAAACTCTTGAATATTGACCATAAAATTAGAGCAACTCCAAGGCTAAGAACAGTGGTGAGGTCCAGTGTTTTTAGACTGTTTCCATGATTTTTAAAAGAAGAGACAAGAGTCGATTTGAATTTTATTTAGTGCCCTTACTTGGATGGTTGTTAGACCTGCTACCCAGCAACACCTAGTTAAGTAAACAGATAAGCCTTTCTAAATACTGGTCTCAGCTCATTTCCCATTGAAAGCTTGTGGAGACAAAGAATTCTGTCTGCAGTAAGTCAAATACGTTTCAGAGTATGCTGATGGCTGGTTTTCATAGTACAGATAAAGAGCGGATATCTGTCTAAACACCTATTACTTGGCTATGCTGTTCTACAAACCAATTTTTTCAGATAAGTTGTTCAAAAATCAGGATTGGCAGCTGGGTGTGGTGGTGCACTCCTTTAATCCCAGCACTTGGGAGGCAGAGGCAGGCAGATCTTTGTGAGTTCAAGGCCAGCCTGGTCTACATAGTGAGTTCTAGGACAGCTGGGGCTACAGGGAGACCCTGTCTCTAAAGACAAAAAAGAAAGAAAGAAAGAAAACAAATTACAATAAATAGATGAGTGAGTGCTGCAAAGGGTCCTTACGCGCTTCTGGCTCGAAAGCAAATGAGTCCAATCACTGGAATCAATTCAGAGTCAAAAACCAAAAGTAGGCTCCCCGTGACCAGCCACACCACTCGTCAGTATTTACTCGAAGGGCCCCAGGTCAACATAGCACAGAGACACTTGCACATCAGCATTTATTGCAGCCCTGTTTGCAGTAGCTGTGTTATAGAACCAGGGTAGGTGTCAACAGAGAAATGGATAAAGGAGATGTGGCTTATATACAATAGGTTTTCTTCTAGCTGTAAAGAATGACAAAGATCGTTTGCAGGATAAGAGACACAACTGGAGACAGTCATGTTAAGCAAATTGACAGACTCATAAAGACAAATATTGCGTGTTTTTTCTCATTTTCGGTTCCTTGATTGATATAGATAAATAAAATTGTGTATCTGGCATAGAGTAGGAAGGAACTGGGAACAAATGGGACTAACAGGGAGGGGAGGGGAAGGGGGTCACTCTTAAAGCTCATTGTGTACATGTATGAAAGTTTCCTTACATGATACAGTACCATATACAATTAGTATGCACTAATAATAAGAATGATTTAGAAAGCCGGGTATAAGCCGGGCGTGGTGGTGCATGCCTTTAGTCCCAGCACCCAGGAGGCAGAGGCAGGCGGATCTATGTGAATTCAAGGCCAGCCTGGTCTTCATAGTGAGTTCCAGGCCAACTAGGGCTACAGGGAGACCCTGTCTCAAAAAGACCAAAAAATAAAAATTAAAAAAAGAAAAGCTAGGTGTGGTGGCAGACACCTTTAATTCCAGCACTTGGGAGGCAGAGGCAGGCAGATCTCTGTGAGATTGAGGCCAGCCTGATCTACATAGCGAGTTACAGGCCATCTGGAGCTATAGGGATACTCTGTCTCTGTAAACCAAAAAAGAAAAAGATTTAAAGGAGCCTTGGAGGCTTCGTCTCGTCTCGTGGGCACAGGGGAGGAGTGGCACAAACGCCTGGGGGAGAGCTTCCACAGTTCTTGTTCTTGGTCTCCTCCCTTGTCTTATCTCCTTTATTGACCTTCCCTCCCTGAAGAAAAAAATTTCCCACGTGTCCCTCAGAGGATGGTCTGGAGGGGTGGTCTTTGGAACCCCAGGTCCTCAGAATAGTATCTAGATTGTACATAATGACAGGATTCCGGAACCAAAAAAGTTCTGAGAACGTTAACGTAAATACAGATAAATGCTTTTCTTCCTTCCCCTCCCCCTCCCCTGTCCCTTTTTCCTTTTCTGATAGTCTCATGTAGCTCATATGTAGCTGGACTCACTGTAGCTAAGGATCACCTTGAAGTTCTGATCCTCTCCACATCCCCAGTGCTGGGATTTCAGGTGTGGGTCGCCACACCCACTTGTTTATTTCCTAAAGTTTTTAGAGGTTTTAGTAGCAACCGTAAATCCTGGCTTCTAAGAAAAATGCACAAAGCATTTTTCCAGAGCCGTGGACATGGCTCAGCACGTAAAGGTTCTGGCCACCAAGCCTGATGACCTGAGTTCAGCTCCTCAAATCCACATGGATTTGAGAACTGACTCCTGAGTTGTCCTCTGACCTCCAGATGTAGCGCACAGGTGCAAGGGAGTTCCTGCGCACACACACACACACACACACACACACACACACACAGAAGCACACTGTGGGAAGCTGTGTTTTAGAACATTTATGGAGGCACTGGTGCTGATGGGGAGGGTACTCAGCTGAGGAGCTGTGAGTGGTACAGGCACACATAATGGCATGTTCTGGACCCTGAGCACACCAGTATGGCCACTATGGTTACTCGAATGCTGAATGTTCACCACTGTCCAGATGGTGAACAGCTGCTTCCCTGGGCCTCTGTGTACTCCCAGTGTGCCCAGACCTCCCTGAGGACTAGCACCAGTTCAGCCTGGTCGTGTTAAGGACCTGGCTCCAGGAATTGTGGGCTGTGTCTTCTGGATGTTGACTTGGGATACATGTTGCTAACATTTTGAATGCTGTGCTAGATGTGAGGGAGGAAACAGGGAACCTTAAAAAAATGCTCTTAGATTGTATTGGGCTTCCATTTCTGGCTTGCATAAGAGAGACTTATTATACCCAGCCTGTTGATTTACATGATAATAGGTGTTTCCCAGCTGTGCCTAGGTTCCTGGTCCTTTTTCTGGGCAACATCTGTCATGGTTCAATTAACTCTTTTATTTCAGAGGAAAAAGAAAAGCTTTAGTAATATGCTATTAAGTATAACCTCTCTGAATAACTAAACAAAATGCTGAGCTTTCCACATGGTAAAAGTTGGAACAGAATTTTGCCAGTTTATAAGAAGACAGATATTCTGACTTTCCTTTTTTGGCTTTTTTTTTTTTTTTGAGACAGGATCTCCCTGTAGCCCCACCTGGCCTGGAACTCACTATGTAGACCAGGCAGGCCTTGAGGCTTGAAGTCACAGAGATCCACTTGCCTATGCCTCTCAAGTGCTGGGACTAAAGGCGTGTGCCACCACACCTGGCTTAGTTTCCTTTTTTATTTTTTATTTTATTTAATTTATTTATTTTTTGGTCTTTTTGAGACAGAGTCTCCCTGTAGCCCCAGCTGTCCTGGAACTCACTATGTAGACCAGGCTGGCCTTGAACTCACAGAGATCCACCTGCCTCTGCCTCCCGAGTGCTGGGATTAAAGGCGTGCGCCACCACACCTGGCAAGTTTCCTATTTTAAAAAAATGCTTTTGTTTTATGTGTATGAATGTATTACCTACATGTAGGTAGGTGTACCCATGTTGTACAGTGCCCAAGGAAGTTAGAAGAGGGTATCAAATGCCCTGCCTGGAACTGGAGTTACAGATGGTTGTTAGCTGCCATGTGGGTTCTGGGAATCGAACCCTGGTCCTCTGCAAGAGCCGTTAGTGCTCTTAACTGCTGAGCCATGTCTCCTTTTTTAGGGGGAGGGTCTTTTTGAGACAGGGTTGTCCTGTAGCCACAGCTGACCTGGATTCACTATGGAGACCAGGCTGCCTCTAACTCACAGAGATCCGCCTGCTTCTTTCTCCCGAATGCTGGGATTAAAGGCGTACCACCAGCCCGACTTCCCGTCTCCTTTCTTTTGCAGTCTCAGAGATGGAAGTCCCCGGAGTATCAGGTCGTTTGACTGCTGTGACCCCAGCCCACCGTGGGGCAGTGTCTCTTGAAGAGCATCTATAACACAGCCAGCCTCAGACCTTGCGCTTGTCTTGGCTTTGAGATGTGAGCAGTGAGGCCCCTCATAGAGAAGAGCCTGAGGTGGACTGCCCAGAGCGCTCCTGTAGCCCAGTAATGGGTGCTGAAAAGTTAGATTGTGAACAGTAAGGAAGATGGGTCAGGCGTGCACATCCCTTAATCCCAGCACTTGCAAGGCAGAGGCAGGTGGATCTTTGTGAGATGAAGCCCAGCCTCATCCACATAGTGAGTTCCGGGCACCAGCCAGGGTCTACATAGTAAGAACATGTCTCAAAGAAAGAAAAATAAAATGAAAAGGAGGCTAAGGGTGTCCCCAAACTTTGAAAAGCTCGTTTCCAGACAGTATATGCCTTATTTAGTTGGTGAATTCCAGTAATCTGATTAGTAAATTTTATTAATAAATCCTATCCATAAATTTGGTTAGAAATTGTCATGCCTGTTTATATGTTTATTATGTAGAAGAAACAACAAAGATTCTTTAATGATATTAGATGATAAAAAAATTTAATGTATGTGCTTAGCTATAAAAACTGATTTTGCAGGGCATGGTGATGCATGCCTTTAATCCCAGCACTTGGGAGGCAGAGGCAGGCAGATCTCTGTGAGTTCAAGGCCAGCCTGGTCTACATAGTGAGTTCCAGGACAGCTGGGGCTACAGGGAGACCGTCTCAAAAAGACCAAAAAACAAAAAAACGACAACAACAAACTTTGATTGGGCAGATGGGCTGTAGCTCGGTGGCAGAATGCTTACCTAGCATGTGTGAGACCCTGAGTTTGATTCCCAGCACCAGAGAGATTTGAGTTTTATGATGATGAAGATAGATGCCAAATTTATGACTAATTTTAATTTCTAATGGGAAAAATAAAGCTTGACTGAAATACTAGGGAGGTTTTACATTTTGATCATGGATAATGAGTATGACTTCATAATCCTCGTTTTGCAGTTGATGTAATTGTAAATTAGTTGTGTTTTTTGCCCACATGATAGCATTGAGCAAGTCAACAGTCTCCGTGAGATACAAGCCCTGAGGCGCCTGAACCCACACCCCAACATTCTTACCTTGCATGAAGTGGTTTTGTAAGTATGTTTGCAGCTTGAAAAGTTACCTAAAGTAGAAAATTTGATACTAAAAATTAAATTTCTTTTTAAGAAAACCATGGTTAGACATTTAAAATATCTTCTTATTTTTATTTTATGTGTATGAGTGTATTGCCTGTATGTGTGTAAGTGCACCCATCTCATGGAACTGGAGTTAGGATGGTTGTTAGCCACCATGTGGGTGCTGGGAATCAAACCTGCATCTGCTGTAAGAGTAGTTGGTGCTCTTAACTGCTGAGCCATCTCTCCAGCCCATTAGACACTTAAAACATTTGCTTTGTGGCTCTTTGAGTGACAATTACCATTACATCTTGTGCCAGATATGTTTGTACAAATGTGTATCTGATGGCTGATATGGAAATGCCTTTGTTTCAGGGACCCTTCGTATGGGTGCTGAGAGCTGAACCTGGGTCATTGGCAAGAGCAGCCAGTGCTCTTAACCACTGAACCATCTCTCTGGCCCTTTAAATTTTTTCTTAAAGTAGAATTTTCACAGTATTTTACGTTATTTTAGCCAAAATGTTGACTTAAAGTAAAAGCCTACTACTACTCTGATAAGCCACGGCCATGGTTGTCTTCTTGTGGGAATGTGCTCTGTACCATAAGCTGCACAAATGAATGCTAAATTACTTGATTATATTTTCTGATTAAGACAAGGAAAATTATTAAAAACCTGCTTTCTTCTGCAGTGACAGAAAATCTGGTTCTCTTGCACTAATATGTGAACTTATGGACATGAATATTTATGAGCTAATACGAGGTAGGTAGACTCTTTTTTGAAACTAATCTGAGGTCCTCTGGAGCGTTTGTGGTTGACGTGGTGACGTGGAAGTTACAGTGCAGAGCTGCTTCGCTCAGGTCTCAGGAGGCGTTTTCCTGGCAACTCAGATGAGAGAAGCCACAAGCCTGGTGGCCCTGTGATTTGGATGAGGCTGGTCCACGGGCCAGCTGTCCTCACACTGTGCCACCCAGGCTCCTCTGTTCCCAGCATCTCTCTACTCCGTGTGCCCTTCTCTGCTTCCAGGAAGGCAGAGCTGTCCCCTGGAGCCCTCCTGTGGAAGACTCCTCCCGGCCTCTTTTGGAACTTGACGTGTCCTATCCCAGGGTGCGCATTCCTTCCCATTCCTCTCAGCAGTGAAGCACTGTTTAGGAAAGCTCATTTGCCTCAGATAACCTCAGCCATGGCCTTGGATGCTTGCGGAGGGCACCCAAGGGTTCCAGGAGGCAGGGAGCCAGGCTTTGGCCCTCATTGAGAAGATGGCCCTGAGAGTCCCATGTCAAGGCTATGTTAGATGTCAGGACAGATGAGCCTGATAAATACCACTGAGAAAGCACTGTAGGAGATGCTCTGTTTTCTAGAGCTCATTACACTTGGAGGACAAAGGAAGAATGGAACAAAACTGCCTGCCCCAGTGGAACACACCTGTGACCCAGGCTGTCCTGGAGAGCTTTGGTTGTCAACTTGACACACCTAGGAAGAGGGGGCCTCAATGTCGGGGGGCATGTCCTGTAAAGATGGGGATCCAGCAAGTGAGCACAGGTGGGGATCCAGCCAGTGAGCACAGGTGGGGATCGAGCCAGTGAGCACAGGTGGGGATCGAGCCAGTGAGCACAGGTGGGGATCGAGCCACTGAGCAGGCTCCTGCTTTAAGTGCCTGCCTTGGTTTCCCTCAGTAGTGGACTTGGAAAAGTAAGATGAAATAACTTCTTTCCTCCCCAAGCTGGTTTTGGCCAGTGTTAATCACAGGAATAGAAAGCTAATCAGACCACAGGAAGGGTTGCAAGTTTGAGACCAAAGTTTAAAACAGGCCAACTTTGCACGTGGCAAAGTTGCGAGACTCTGTCCTAAAATGTTAAAAGAAAATAGAGGTCTGGGACTGTATTAGGTCAGTGGTTGAGCACTCGCCTAGCATGTGAAAGGCCTTGGGTTCAATCTCTAGTACTGAATTTTTTTTTTTTAATTTAAAAAGAGACATGAAGCAGCAAGTGCCGCGGAGTCATGTGGATGCCTGGGACCTGCTGTGGTGCTTTGGGGACCGCATCTTAGTGATTTCACAATGCATCCTTTCAGAGTTGAGGCTAGCCTGAAGATGCCAGCTAGAGCTCTGCCAGCACATGACACCCATTTTGCTTTTTTTTTTTCCTTCGGTCTTTTTGAGACAGGGTCTCCCTGTAGCCCCAGCTGTCCTGGAACTCACTGTGTAGACCAGACTGGCCTTGAACTCACAGAGATCTGCCTGCCTCTGCCTCCCGAGTGCTGGGATTAAAGGCGTGCACCACCATGCCTGGCCCATTTTGCATTTTAAAGAGCCTGTGTAGGCCAGGTGTGGCAGCTCACACCTAATCCCAGCATGCTGGTGGGGAAAGCCCAAAGATCCAGAATTGAGAGGCCAGACTGGACTAATAGCAAGTCTTAGCTACATATGAGAACTATCTCAGAAAACAAAGGGAGCCGCAGAATCCCTTCCTTTGGTTGTTCAGTGACAATTCTGTGTAAGGTGTAAGGTGTAAGGTGCAGACCTAATGTCAGAAGTCTCTCCCTGTGCTTCCTAGAACATGATACTTTAAAACTCAAGGGACTGGGAAATTTCCAACATGTTGCTATGTGTTTAGACATTTGAGAAAGCTTTATTTAGAAAATATATATTTAATTTCCAGTAGCTGGGGGATTATGTAATTGAGAAGTTGAAGCATTTATTCCACATCTACCTACAGAGACTGTAAAAAACACTGTTAAGCCGGGCATGGTGGTGCACGCCTTTAACCCCAGAACTCAGGAGGCAGAAGCAAGCGGATCCACTGTGACTTCGAGGCCAGCCTGGTCTACAGAGTGAGTTCCAGGCCAGCTGGGGCTACAGAAAGACCCTGTCTCAAAAATAAAAAAAGACCCCAAACACTGTTAGACCAACAGATACTCATTGGAGGCAGTTACCGAACGAGGCCTATTTTACCTTGTCTGCTTGCTGTGCGCCAATCACTGAAAGTTCTGCAAACTGCATTTATTCTCAAGGTGTCCAAGCATGAGGAGTTGGGAGACCCAAGTCCATTGGTAGGACTTGACTTCTGGGATGAAGCCAGGTGGGGAAAGGTGATGGGGTATAGCAATTAGAGGTCTGCCACAGGTAATCTAACTTCATGGCTTTTCATGGGATGCAAGTTCAGCTGCAAGGCCCTCAGGGTGAAGTTTTCATCCTCCTAACATCAGAAAGCCACCACTGATCCTTACGCAGGCTCCTGCACAGGCCAAAGTGAAGAGTCAGTCATTTTAACAAAATCTGAAGGCCCTTAGCATCATGACCCACTTAGCGGTTGTTATCTACAGCAAAATAGTAGGGGACAGATATTTAATTCAGCGACAGGACCTCCAAAATTAATGATTTTTGAAGCCAACTAAAGCAAGTAACTAAAGGGGAGCCTGAGGCTCAGAGCCAGAGAAGGAGAGAGTGCCATAGCTGCTAAGAGGGAGGGAGGGAGGGGGGGA